CGGCTAAGATAAGACATTAAACACTGAGGAACTTTCACGTACATGGTTTCATCTGATCCTCAATAAAGTCCTATGAGGCAAGTGGAGGGAAACATCCTGATTTTACAAAGAGTGTGTGACAATGAAGTTCAGAGAAGTCTGATGACTTGTCCAAGGTTACACAACTAGGTTGCTGCAAAACACTATGTGAAACCTGGACTCATTATCTGCTATGAATTCTACACGCAGCACATGGAAAACACATCATGTATCTTTGCTGAAAAACTGTTATATTCTTTAAAATTAAGATGAATTCATATTCATTTCAACTTGTGTAACTGACCCTGGTTTTATTAGTATTCACTGTCAGGCCTTTTTATACACTTCTTATTTTCATAACTGGCCATGAAAAAAAGTACTTAGAATCAGTCCAAGGGGTTCAAAACGGCTTCCACCTTCTGAGATAACAAATATGGTACAAAAAAATGGGATGATGTGAGGCTGACATACTAGCTGAAATTGGTTAGTAGAAGAGGCCCAGCATCCGGAAAGGGGGAAGAACAGAGCTATTTTCACAGCTGATAGTCAGAGCCCTGATGGCCATGCTTTAAATGAGGAAAGAAGCAATTTCATTCGAGCCGATGATGACAGATAAGTCAAACACAGAATTAGAGGGAGGCAAAGCTAGAAAGGACTTCAGATATCATTAAACTGAATTACTTCATTTTACAGATCAGAAAACTGAGGCCCAAAAAAATTCAGTGATTTGTCCAAGGTCAGTGGAATAGAACTCAAGTTTCAAACGAAAGCTCCTTCCACTATTCTTTATTACCTCAACTTGTAAAACAGTGACAAAAAACTAACCACCCTAATAGTTTACTCACAGCACGCTTTATTGTTTCCTCAACCAGACGGCCCACTATAATATCTGACTTGGCTTTCATAACTAAGCCAAGAATTATGGGTTCAAAATGACAGTCATCAAGACTCTTGCAATCTTAAGAACTGCCTTTCAATGCCATAAGAAATAACACATTGCTAAGACCATGGTCCATCCTTCCCAGTATTCTCATGCAGCCAATGGCACCAAAGGACATGCAGGGAATGTGAGAGGGGAAAGGTTGAGGAGCATGGTAGTTTTCTCCCATTATTTTAACCTCAGAAGTTTAGGGACTCTCAGTCCTTCTGATGTTCACTTAACCTCCTGTAACTCTAAAATCCATGGTTCTAAAACCTTTTGGAACCAATCTGTGTTTCAAGTTTCACAAGGTACAATCCCTCCAATTTCACGATAACCTCAACTGATGTTGTTTAATTAATGACTATAGTTCATTTTAAAAACATTACCCATTTAAGATTATGGTTTCTATAACAGGGTTCCACCTCTAGTGCTGAATGGAAGGAAGGAATAAGGAAGAGACAAAGAGGCCGCTTTCTTTGCTGGTGTTTAAAAAAAAAATCCTGAGGCTCATATCCATACAGTCGACTTGTATCTTCCATCAATAATTCAGAGAAAGGATTGATGTGATGCTAAAGTTTTAAACTGTAGAAGAGAAGCCTTCTCGAGAGAGAGAGAGAGATTCCTAGCAAATTGATTTCTGAAAACTCAACAATGAATTATTTCAATGAGTTCTGGGCAGCACATTTTTGGAAGGACAATGGCAAGCTGGAATGATGAGACTGATAAGAATGTATCTGTCTGGTGTCTCTCAAATCTAATAAAATAGATTTAAAATGGAAACGATAGGAGAAGGGGAAAACTAGGCCCAAGGGAAGAGATACAATGAAGGATGAAGAGTAGGTGGGACACATGAAGTTCACAAGAGATAAAGAATCCCAGAAATCAGTCAGTATTAAAACAGTTGGCTTCAAACGTCTACACAGAAATGTAATGAGAGAAAGCAGGTCTTAAAGGAGTCAAATTTTATTTCACAAGTTCCACTGAAATTCAATGGAATGAAACCCATGACTGGACTACATATTCCTCTGGGTAAACGCACCTGAAAAAAGGCAGGGGTATTGTACATTTGGAATGTATATTAAATATATATTAAAGGATATTAAATCAAACCCAGGGACCAGGAAGGGGAAAACTTGGTGGAGAGCATTTAGATGAAGCTTAACAGAGGGAGAAACAGAAGCAATTTTGTCTTCACAGTATTCTACAGACTACTAGGACATAAAAGAGAAATGAAGGAATTATTTAGGAAACAGATCACATGTCTGACACAGAGGCATGATATAATAGTGATGGGGGGGCCTCAACTATTCACACATCTGCTGGAGCTCTGTCTCTGCTAAAAGTGTTTTTATTGATATATTTTTATCTTTCAAAAAGCAGAGGAAGCAACAAAGGGTAACACTATTTTGGATCTAATGCTCCCTAAAATGGAGAAACTGGATGGCTCTCTAGGATGCAGAAGGGGAAATGAGAGAGGGGGAAGTTTAGGCCATGTGGAAACAAAAGATATTAATTTTAAAAAGAGGAAGTTGTTGCCAGTCTATAAATAATGGGAACTTTGAGGGTAATCATTTCATCCTAAAGTTTGTGATAAAGGAGAGAAAAATCAGGCAAAGTCTCCCATGGAATCAACATTTTGGGAAAATGGATTTCATAGGTTAAGAGGAAGAACAGAGAATAAATGGATTAAAATTCTACAAGAGAAATTGGTGTAGGAGGGATGGAAAACTCTCAAGAATGAAATTCTGAAGACACAATGTGAAATAATACTGAGGAGGAAAAATGGGAGCTGTCTGAAAATACAAATATGGATGTATAGCAAACTCACCAACCAAATTAGATTTTTAAAAGATATGCACACCAGATAAAAGCTAGAGCAGATAACAGAGGATGAATTCATAAAATTATGAATGACATGGCCCTATAAAAATAATGCTAGGAATGCCAAAGCTCAGAATGAAGTGAACCTGGTGGGGAAAGCTGAGAATATGAAAGGACAGGTTTTCTCTTTTTAAGCCATAATGGGATAAATGGGGAAAAGGGACAGGTCTGATGCTTGGTGTGCTGATAACAAGAGAGAAAAGGCAGAGCTGTTCAACTCCTTATTTCCCTTACGTTGTTTCCAGAGGTAGCAGCCAGAACTGGTTGAGTCCATGGCAGATGGAAGATTGGAAAGAAATGGGGATATTCCACCTGGAGAAGAGAAGACTGGGAACACACACAAGACAGCTGTCCTCAAATATTTAAAGTTATCTTGTGTTAAAGAGATTACAGTTTTTCTGTGTGGCCTCAGAGGGCGATATTAGGAAATGCGTGGAAATTTCAAAGACGCAAAATTAGGCTTGAAGTCTAACAATTTCCTAACAATCAGAGCTATCCAAAAGTAAAGTGGGCTGCTTTGGGAGATGGCAAGTTGCCTCTCATTGGAAGTCTTCGAGCAAAGACTTGATCACTTGTTTCACTGTAGAGGGGATTCCTCTGATGGGTGTAGGATCAGTTAGAAGAATTTGGGAATGCTTGAAGGACTGCCGTAAAGAAAAGGAATTTACACTTAACTGGTTCAGCCTCAGAAGACAGAATGAGGGCTAATGAATAGCACTATAGGCAGGAAGCCTTCAGCTCAATAAAAGGTTGGATATGTCCTGTTTAAAACCAAAACGGGATGCCTCAGGAGCAGTGTGCACACTGATGTTGGAAGTTTTAAGGCTGAAGCTGGATGACCACTTGTTAGTGATAGGGTTCATGCTTCAGGAACGGGGTTATGATTCTAAAGCAAAAGAATTTTGAGGTATCCTTAAGTGCCTTTTTTATTTACTCCTCTCCCCCCTCACGTGTAAGTGAGAAAAGGGAGAAGGAAAGGGAAAGGGAAAGGGGGGAGAGATGAGGAGGGCGAGAGAGAGGCAGAAGGGGAAAGGGAGGGGATGGGAAAGGCAGAGGATGAGGAAAGAATGAGGAGGGGGAAGGGAAGGAGGAAAAAAGAGGGGAAAGGAGAAAAGAAAAGAATCCTTTACTCTGAGCACATTCTGAGGTCAAAGGAAGGACCGTAAATGCCTGGAGTGATGATGATGTTCCTGAACGCATGAAGTCTAGATAAGTAAGAAAGCCACATGCAGTACAGGGACAGTCACACTTGAAGAAATAGTGAACCCTATCTCCTAATTTCACTTCTGCTTGTCACCTCATGATCTACTGCAGTGAACCAAGAATCCAACAAGCTAAGCACAAAAACCAATTTCCCCTGCTATCAAATACAGAATAACCAATGTAATCTAACATTCAATTTCTTAGTTTCTCCAAGAAAAATTTATATACAGACTGTCCCAGAAGTCCTACTGATGTGAAAGCACAAAGATTTTTGGGACACCCTGTATTTATTCTCAAGGAGACTATTTGGTAATTACAGCCTTGTCTATGTGAAAGTCCCACCCCCAGTTCCAAAAAAAATCTTTGTTCTGAAGTTGTCCCAAATTACTGTGAAAATATTTTATCATTAGGTCCTGTAAAATGGCTGCTGTATTCTTCCTAATAATTTAACAAAATGCCTTTAGACTTTAAAAATAAGAAAAGATTATGAGGTATTAAATATGGGGATCTGATTATAAATTCAAGCACAATTATTGTACTTGGCAAATATTGTAGGAGAATTATCTATTTTTAATCTACAGAGAAAACAAATTTAGAAAAAATAAAATCCTTTAAATGCTTATCAAGATGTTCTACTGAATACTCTATACAACTCATACATATTAAATACAACTGTTACGCAAATTAATACAAATGCTGAAAAAGGGCAGGTAGGTGACAACTGACAGAGCACTGGGCCTAGAGTCAGGAAGACCTGATTTCAAATCTGGCCTCATTTACTAACTGTGTGACCCTGAGCAAGTCACTTAACTCTGTCTGTCTTAGTCCTCACCTGTAAAATGAGCTGGAGAAGGAAACGGCAAACCACTGGTATAGTTACCAAGAAAACCCCAAATACGGTCATGAAGAATTGGACGTGATTGAAACGACTGAATGACAACAAAAAGCTGAACGAAAAATGAGATTCTTAGCTTACCGTATACAACAGGATACACTGTCCCTCGTATACCTGATGCTGGACAGTGCATATTCTTTCCATTCAAATAAACATTCAATTCTACATGGTCATACGTAATACCCTAGGGAGTAAAGTAGAAATTTTTAAAGTCTTTTAATGCACAATATTTAATAAACTATAGCTCTAACAAGTATATCCTTTATAATCAAATTGAAAATGGTGGGATGTATTTTTGCATCATTACCACAAAAAAATGCATCTTCCAGAAAACACACGACATCTTTTGTTGGAGGGAGGCACAGAAATACAAAAAACTAGGCAAGAAAGAGTCACGTGACCAGAGAGCCTGTCACTAATGTTTTCATTAAGGATTAAAAAGTCTGAGAATAAATTTATCTACTTGAATAAAACAAGCTGATCACATTAAAACTGGTTTAAAACACAAAACAATCATAATAGTTATATCAAATATCCAGTTTAAATTGTAGCAAAGTAGCTATGTAACATGAATTTTTAGTGCTTTGTACTCTTAAAAATAACATATAAGTAATAAAGAAGTAGAGAGATCTTTTCTAATTCAAGCTGAAAATTAATCGCTTTCCATGCTTTCCATGATTTCCAGTGGTCAATACTCATTGTGGCTGTCACCATTGCAGTTTTATCACCTCTTCATGCTTTCAAAGCATCACAAATGCTGCTGGGCCCCTCAGTTTGTCCTACTAACACACACATTGATGCTTCTTTTTGCTCAGAGGCAATGTGGCGCAGTGGAAAGTGAAGGACACTAAGAGCCAGGGGAGATAGCTAAAACTCAACTTCAGACAATTCCTGCCTGTGTAGCCCAAGGCAAATCACTGACACGATTTTCTCATATGTATAATTTGGCTGATAATAACTGTACAACTTTCCTCATAAGGTGATCATGAAGAAAGTGCTCTGCAAAGTCTAAAACATCAGATAAAAGTGAATTAAAATTATGAACACCGGATCAGAGTTTTAGAACTGGAAGGCACCTCAGAGGCCATTTAGTCCAACATTTAAGGAAACTGAGGCCAAGGGAGGTGCCCAGAGTCATACAGGTAGCAAATACAAGAGCTGGGATTTGAACTCAGGTCTTTTGAAATTAGTATTAGTTTCAAAAAGATCAGCTCTATTACAAAGCTTATGTGGTTCAAAGTAAGCTGGGAAAATTCTAAAGCTATAAAGAGAAAAAGCAAGAATTGCCTAGAAGATGAGAGGAAAAAATTAAACTTTATCTTAAATCCTGTTTCCAGAAAAACTAAAATCATAGGAGTAACTAAAAAGTATTTTCTTCTAACTAAATTCATTTAAAATGATGCACATAAAAGGGATATTTTTTATGACTACCTGATAAATGCAGATAAAGTACATTTGCTGGGAAAAAAGTCTTAGCTTTTTTCAAAATCCTTATGCTTCCTTTAAATGTTTCTTTTATTAAAAGTTTTTACAAGTTATGTTCTTATTAGCATGAATGTCTTGTAATTGGAAAGAGGTGCTGGTCCTTTTAAAAGAAAGAGGTATGGTCTCCTTTAAAAACAAGTCATTTATCTCCTCTGGAGAGAAGAACTAATTGATAAAGGACCAACTGTCTTCCGAACATAAATACCAGATGGGAGTCGGTACAGGAATGGAAATCTGCTTGGCAAACCACGAGAAAGAACCCTCACCGTGGAGCCTCATGGCCTTTCTCTCTAAATTACACATTGGCAGTTGTCTTGTGGGGCTGCCTAAGGGGAAGCCTATGGAGGGTGCCCTACAGCACCAGGAGCTGATGCCATGGCCCCACCTACCTTCTGCCTCATCCAGACCATATACCAAGGACTAGCAGCCAGAGGAAAAGTATACTGTGACTTTTGCCACCCCTGGAATTTGCTTCTGGAATCTAACTCCAAGTGAAGATGATCAAAGTATGGTAGAAAGAAGTGTTATTACTCAAATCTTAGAGCAAGCAGTGACTGCTTAGTGAAAAATGTACTTAATTGTATCTCAGTACTATACTGAGAATGTATTAAATTTTACTCTATTTTGCATATAACCTATTTAAATGTGATTAATTAGTAGTAGTAATTAGATACCCAATCACATTTAACTTTTTTTCATAAAGAATTCTACTTTTAAATAAAAAGCATAATTGAATAGAAAAGTACACTATTCTTTTCACAGGTGTAAGAAGCCTAGCTGTTTAGAATGAGGTCATAACAAAACCACTGTCCACATGGTGGCAGCACTGCCTAACTGTAGGCAAAGTAACTAAGAAGAAATAAACAGAATCTGAGGAGCTGGCCTCACAAACCCAAGTTTATAAAGTGAGAACAAATATCACAACACCAAAGGAAAATGGGGGATAAGAAGGTGAGAAATGTATTTCTGAGTCTAAGCCAATTCTTCTAAAAAACTGTTACTATGATTATTTTTCAATTAACAAGAATTTATTTACTCTCTCTCTCACTTCTCCCCCAAATAAAAACAAACCCTCTGTATTTATCTAAATCAGTTCTCGGTCTATAAGCATTTTGACACTGACACCACTGACAAAAAACAGCTCCACTCCATATGTTTCAGATTCATCATTGATTACACAGAGATTTTTGGTGAAAATTTTACATAAATGCAAATTATAAATGAAATTGAAAATGCGTTTTAAAAATAAAAAATAAATACTCTTGAAAATTATATACAAGACAGAAATCAATATACCTAAGGAACTTCACCTTGAATGGCTATAGGAGAGGTCTTAAGGATTGAACACTGTAGAAATAAATTTCTGAAATTCATTTGGCCAGATACAGAAAGCTCAGTTTTCCTGAACCTGATAAAGAACAGAGTACATAAGCTAAAACGCTGTCCACATATGAAAATGCTTTTCTGGTCCTGCAATCCATTCTACTTTTCCTACGCTACCGTCGGCAATTTGGTAAAATTTGTTCTTAACTATTACAAACGTTTAGGCTGTGAAGATGAAGTCACCCTAACATGGAAGGATAACAAGTAACAAATGTTTTACTCTAATTCCTTGACCCTTCACACACTTCATCTTCATTGGTCCTCCTTTTATCCAAACTGGCACAAAAGCTCAAGGTCTGATTTGATCATATTGATTGGCTCACTAATGGCAGGTTAAATCTGGCAGTCTGTGATGTCAGTCAGCACAGCTTCAGAACTCGACTTTTCATGGCAAGGGAGTAAAGACAGGAGGGCAAAACCAAGTTAAGGATGAGGTTCAATGAGTCAACAAAGAAAAACATTTGTTACTTATTACCCTTTCTTATGTTTTAACTTCATCTTTGTAGTCTAAACAGGTTGACAGTATCCATTTAACTTCAAGACTGTCTCCTAAAAAATAATCAATTGAGAAAGGATGTTCCATGCTGTGGACATCTGGCAATGATCTAAATAAATGAAACCCAAACACAGAACCAATTACTGTATAAGATTTAAATGGGGAAATTGGGAAAAGTAGATATTTAGAAATAGTTAAAACCTTCCATTTCTTTTTAAAAAAAAAAAATTTCTTCCACTTTTTTCTTTAAAAAAAGAATTTCAAAGCCTTTATAAGGCTTAAAAACAGCTTTCACTTAACAGCAAAATGGAGGAAACAGCATCTACCCTAAACTGGTTTCCATACTTTGCTCTTCTTAGATTTACTTTACTGTACTGCCTTTGCTGTAAACTTTGCCTCGTTTACTAAATGTTTCTATCAAGCTAATATTTATGACTGTAGTAGAGCACAAAATACAAGGATGGTCTTAAATCTTTTCTAAATACAGGTGTCCCTGCTCTAGGAAGTCTGCTCCTAATAGCTCCAAACTATAAAACAATCTATACCAAATATTAACAAGAAATAGTTGTAAAGGAGAGAAAACAGTAACAACAGTAAATAGTTTGAGTCTCTATTTGCAACAAAACAATCCTACATATAGTCAAGTTTTGAAATCACAATTCTATGTCTTTACACAATTCTGAAAGTTTGATGAAGGGAATTTTAATCCCATGAAGATCAATTTCTCTGGTAAACTAGTATGATTCTCTAAAAGATGGTAATTAAGCAAATTAAATGAAATCTTGTATGTGCAAATTAAGCAAAATCATATAAATATTTCTTAAACAAGTTCCCATTCTCAGAAGTACTTATATAACACCCTAACACAAGGGTGCATGATCTTTGTAAAATCTTATGGCAAGATTTTGCTCCTTTCCTTCTGCCACTGATCCTCCCAAACAGGGAGCAGTTTGTACCAGTGACTCATGGCCAAGAGTAATCTTAAAGGCAACAGGGTAAGGTTAGCAGGAGAAGAGTAAACAGTACAGTTACTATTTCTGGCACAGGTGCCATAGGTTGCTAGCCCCTATCATGGAGTACTGGCATTCAAATATAATCTCCTCAGAAAAAAATATGAACCATCTTAAAAGTAATCCAAATATAATTATTTTGAAAACAAATTTCTTAAGGAAACTCACCACTACATCTCCCTCCTGTGGAAGATTGTTTGCAGGCAACCTATTCTTTTCCTCATTGTTGTGGTAGAGGGCTCCGTCATTCCTCATCACAAGGCTATGAACATCTCGGCCAAGTGGAATCTGATTCAAATTAACTTTCTGAGTTGCAACTCCAATGCCCCAGATCCCTAAGAACATAATAATGGAAATAAGTCAATGAACTGAAAAATAAAAATGTGGAAATGGGTCAAATTTTCAGGTGCACTCATTCTGAAAGAAATAATATATTGAAAAATTAAACAATATATTATCTCAATAAATCTCAAGTATCAATAAACCTATTCACTAAAAAAAAAAAAATCAGAAAAAAAATCCTTGTATTGTGGTTAAAGACAATGGTTTTCAACCTTTCAGTTTAAAATAATTCTGCAGACTTCCACGATAGTACCAGCACCTACACTACATATAATATTAGAACTAAAACAAAGATCAAAATGATGATGCTCAACTTTTTATGGTAGCAAAGAACTGGAAACAGTGTTTGTCCACTGACTGAGAAATGGTTAAAAAGTTTTCTGGCATATAAATATGATAGAATAGTACAGAACTGTAAGAAATTACGAATATGAAGAATATACATGGAGAGTTATATTAATTGAAATGAAGACAGCAGAAATAAGGAAACAATATATATAATCACTCAATGAACACAATAATGTAAATGCAAAGAACAACAAAATATTTCAAATGAATGTTGTAAAATTATAATGAACAAGAAGCTTAACTCTAAAGAAGAGACAGAAGAATGCATCTCCCTTCTTTCTTCGTAAAGGCAGAGGACTGTGAGTGTCAAACACTTTATGTAATGTGGATGCTTTTATTGAACTTTTTTTCTTCTTTTCTTCTTTTTTGTTTTTAACCAGGGATAGCATTTGGGGAGATGGAAAGAAACGTACTAGGAAATGAGGTAGATGTAAAAATAAACTGTATCATTGAAAATTTGAGTTAAAACAAAAGATAATGCTGAATTCTTACATAGCTTTGAAAATTCCTCACAATAATTCTGAGGGCCCCATGGCTCCATGGCCAACAGATTCAGAACCAATGGTCTAGTAAGTGTAACCACACATTTAGACCAGTTAAAAAACAAACCTGGAATTGTTTCAAGCTCTGCCTCTCTAATCCTCAGTTCTCCTGTCTCACCTTCTCCTACTGTATATAGTAAAATAATGTTTGCCAGCCATCATATTATCATCTTACCACTGAAATCAAACCCCAATGCTTCACTGCATCAGAGAGGTAACTGAATTTTTAAACACTAAGCACATGCTCTCTTAGCCAGGTCTACCAAACTGGCATGGACCAGTAAAGGATTTTATGTCTACAATCTATGAATCAACCTCAATTTGGAGAAGCTCAAAAAGCCAGAAGGCTGGAGACAGGTTTTTTACAGCCACAGCAAGGCACAAAGGGTATCTATGGCAATTTATGGGCAGAGTTACACCTGTGTCAGGTCAGAGCACTCAGTGAACAAAACCACAAATGCTTAGAGTATTGAAATTAGTATTAATATACCAGGAGGAGGTGAATGAATAACAAAGTTTATGTGGCATGGAATTGGACCTATCACCTTGAATGTAACTGAGTTATGTGATATCTAAATACGTACTGAATATTTGCAAAATAAATCTTAACTTCAAGTAAGTAAAAGGCATTTTGGAGCTAGGTGACGCCAAGATGGTGTAAAGGCAAGGACTAGCCTGAGCTTTCCCAAATTCCCCTCTAAACAACTTTAAAATAACACCTTACAGTAGATTCTACAGTAGCAGAACCAACAAAAGGACTGGGTGAAACAATTTTCCAGCCTAAGACAACTTGGAAAGTCAGCAAGAAAGGTCTTCTCACTGGGGTGAGTGGTGAACTGTCCAGCACAGGCCACCCCTGGCAAGACAGCAGTAGGCTCTGGGGGCAACTGAGCCCTGGAGCCCTCAGCCCATAGATAGAAAGGGAGACTGACAACTGGTCAGACGGAGATTACAGGAGACCCTTTGCTGGTACTGGGTGCAGGACTGTCACACTGCCCATATGCAGTTCCAGATCATAGTCCCAGGGGGAGGAGGAACATTAGCAAAAGTGAGGACCCTCGACTCGGTCCAGAGTGAAAAGAGGACTTGTGGTTGTTCACAGACCAAAGAACAGGCCAGAAGAGCAGTAAGCACACCTCTCCTTAGATCATACTATCTTGGAAAAACCACAAAATTACAGATCCCCAGAGCTAGCTCTGAAAACAGCAGCACAAAAAACCTTAAATTTGGGATAGTGCCCCCTACATACTGGGAGCAGAGTTCAACTTTAATATAAAGCTCAAAGTCAAGAAACAGGCTGAAAAAATGAGCAAACAACAAAAAAAGAACATGACTATAGAAAGTTACTATGGTGACAAGGAAGATCAAGACACAAACTCAACAGAAAACAACGAAGTCAAAATAGCAACATGCAAAGTCTCAAAAAAAAATGTGGATTGATCATGGGCCCAAAAAGAATCTCTGAAGGCGCTCAAAAAAGATTTTAAAAATCAAATAAGAGAGCTAGAGGAAAAACTTGGAAAAGAAATGAGAGTGATGTAAGAAAATTATGAGAAGAAAGTCAAGGGGTTAGAAGAACAAGAAAATGCTGAAGAAAATAATACCTAAAAAAAACAGAATTGGCCAAATGGTGAAAGAGGTACAAAAATTCATTGAAGAAAAGAACTTAAAAAGTAGAACTGGCCAAATGGAAAAGGAGACACAAAGCTCAGTGAAGAAAATAATTCCTTAAAAAGCAGAATTGGGTAACTGGAAGCTGAAGATTCCATGAGACACCAAGAAACAACAAAACAAAATCAAAAGAATTACAAAACAGAAGAAAATGTGAACTACCCCATTGGAAAAACAAATAGAAAATAGATTGAGGAGAGATAATTTAAGAATTATTGAACTACCAGAAAGCCTAGATTAAAAAAAAAAAGCGCCTGGACCTCATCTTTCAAGAAATTGTCAAGGATAACCTGGAACCAGAGGGTAAAACAGAATTGAAAGAATCCACCAATCACCTCCTGAAAGAGATCCCAAAAGGAAAATTCTCAAGAACATTATAGTCAAATTCCAGAGCCCCCAGATCAAGGAGAAAATACTGTAAGCAGCCAGAAAGAAATAATTCAAAAACTGTGGAACCACAGTCAGGATAACACTGACTTCTACCCTAAAGGATCAGAGGGCTTGGAATATGATATTCTGGAAGGCAAAGGAGTTAGAATTACAACCAAGAATCACTTACCCAGTAAAAGGTGAAAATGTTTACATTTCTTGATGGGAAGATGATACCTGTAACACCTAAGAACTTCATAATTACTAGGGCAGTTAGGAGTACATATAGACAGAGGTCACAGATGTGAATTGACTGTGACAGGACGATATACAAAAAAACAAAATTAAGGGGTAAGAAAGAGGGATACACTAGGAGAAGAGGGAAGAGAAAGGCATAATGGGGTAAATTATTGCACATAAAGGAAGCACAAAAGAGTTTTTACAGTGGAAGAAAAGATGAGGGGGTGGGGAGGCAATGCTTGAACCTTACTGTCATTGGAATTATCTGAAAGAGGAAATAATACACACACTCACACTCAGATTTGGAAATCTTTCTTACTCTACAAGGAAGTAAAAGAGGACAGGAGAGGGAAAAAGAGAAGGAGGGGGCCTGACAAAGGGTGGACTGGGGAAGGCGGTGGTCAGAAGCAAAACACTTTTGAGGAGAGATAGGGCAAAAGGAGAAAGAGAAGCATAAAGGGAGGGAGGGGAAGGGAATAGGATAGAGGGAAATATAGTTAGTAATCATAACTGTGAAATGTGAATGGGATGAACTCACCCATAAAACAGAAGTGGACAGCAGAGCGGATTAAAAACCAGAATCCTACAACATACTATTTACAAAAAAAACCTTAAAACAGAAAGACACACACAGAGTTTAAATAAGGGGCTAGAGTAGAATCTGTTTTGCTTCAGCTTAAGTAAAAAAAAGTAGGGGTGGCGATCATAATCTCAGACAAAGCAAAAACAAAAATAGATCTAATTAAAAGAAATAAGTAAGGAGTAAAAGCCATTTTGGCACGAGCAGCCAAGTGACAAAACAAAAACTAAAAAAGAGACGATGTCTAGATTTAGATTTATTTTATACACTCTAAGAATTCCTTATTTTATCGGGACACTGTTGATGGAGTTGTGAACTGATGGAGTTGTGAACTGATTCAACCATTCTGGAGAATAATTCAGAAGTAGGCCCAGAGGGCTATAAAGCCATGCACACCCTTTGATCCAACAATACCACTACTAGGTCTGTATGACATGAAAAAAGTGAAAAGAACCTATTTGTACAAAAATATCTATAGCAGCTCTTTTTGTGGTGGCAGAGATTTGGAAATTGAGGGGATGCCCATCAACTGGGGAATGGCTCAACAAGTTTTGGTATACGATTGTGACGGAATACTATTGTGCTATAAGAAATAATGAGCAGGATGCTTTCAGAAAAACCTGGGAAGATTTACATGAACTGATGCAACGTGAAATGAGCAGAACCAGGAGAACAATCTACACAGTAATAGCAATATTGTACAATGATCAACCATGAAAGACTTAGCTATTCTCAGCAACACAAATAGCCAAGATAATCCCAAAGCACTTGTGATGAAAAATGTTATCCATGTCTAGAGAAAGAACTCGTGGAATTTAAATTCAGATCAAAGCATGCTTTTTTACTTTATTTTTTGTGTGGGGGTTTTTTTTGGGGGGGGTCTGTATTTTTTTTTCACAACATGACTAATATGGAAATATGTTTTATAAGATGTATATAACCTACATCAAATTGCTTGCCTTTTCAATAAGGTGGGATGGGAGAGAGGGAGTTTGGAAATCAAAATTTAAAAAAAAAACATTAAAAGTTGTTTTTACATGTAATTGGAAAAAAATAAAATTTTTAAAATAAAAAAAGAATTCTATATTTTAAAATAACTTTTGAAAACAAACATCAGACAAATATCTCTGAATATATATATACAATCTGTGACTGGCGGCAGAATTATATAGCACATGATCAAAGATCCAATTTAAATGTATAAGAGGTCGAAGAGAATTTAAAGACTAATAGAAAAATGTTAATCATGTTGCCCTTCTCCAAGTACAATACTGTTGTAAGTCACTATAGCCATAATGAAAGTTATTTAGGTAAAAGTAGTTTGAAATTTTAAAAAACCAAACCTTATATTGAGAGATGAGGTTGAAGTTTTCCAAATTCTGTCATAATCCTAAATTGACTGTTTTAGGGTATTTTAACAAGAGTTTCAGCAAGTTAAGTCCCACTTAGGTTCACGAGGGTCAGTGTATTCAGTGACAAAACTATGACACTACCACATCGGTAAAATGGGACTATTTCATGCCCTATGGTTGTGAGGAAAGCATTTTATAAACCTGATGTTTACCTTTACCATGTCCCTGATCAAAGAAAATGATCAATGTACTCATCCTGCAGGCCAAAAAAAAAAAAAAATCCTCTATTGCCTAAATTGCTAATTACTCTCAATATTCAGGGCTTTTCATAGAATACAACTTAACCAACCTGTGGATTGGATTTTGAATTCGAAGTAGCTTTTGTTCTGATGCAAAGGTGCATTGGCTAAACAACCTCCTGTCCCACATATCCTTCTTCCATTTTTGACAATGACAACATCTGTTCCTAAATAAAAATACAAACTTGTTAGTCATTTAAAAACATTATGCAATTATGCCTTCCATTTCAATCAGCCATTAGAAAAACAATTCTATAACGTTTTTAAAAGATAGAAAACATACCTACTTGAACTTTTATATGTGAGTCACTTGTTGACAGAAACTAAAATATTATTTAATTTTGATCACATAAAATAAATGAGATTCTCCCCAAATTATATTTAATACTTATAAAATCTTCTAGAGTAAAAATAACCCAGTTGTCAGCCAATCACTTAAATAATTTAATTTAAACTAATACACGTAGCTTAAAAAACGCTAAGGCATGTGTTGTTAATGAGCCTAATTTTTCAAGCCAATAGTTATGCTGGATAGTTTAGAGACAAATCTGCTTTAGACATCTGTGCTTGTAAACCACTAAACATTCAAAGAAAATCATATAACTTAGCAAATTTTCATTAAGACAGCTGTTAATTACAGAATATTGAAAACGAGCAGCTGAACATCCTGGCAATTCCATCACTAAATGTACTTTGCTCTTTTAAAATACATATTTTAGTTTCAATTATATTTTGTAGAAGGTTGATTTGGGAAATGTTAAATTTTGGTAATGAAACTTGTTGATTGTAAAACTATGTAAATTCTTTAAACCTTAGTTGAGAAAAGCATGTGCATCTGTGAATAAGAAGAGAACTGATAAAACTACAGGATAGTATACTTCTAAAAATGTGATGCTGCTGATGTAAGAATGAGAAAATGGTTGCTACTCAATGTCTATGGAATGTTGCCACAATTTGGGTTTGGTAATATCATTACATTATCACTAGCTTAGCAGGATTTGGACATGTCAATTCTTGATGTGACTAGGGCAAGTAGGGAACAGGATATAATCAGCTCTCTGAGTCAGTATAGAGGCAGTATGGTACATTTGAAATAATGGATTGGGAGTCAGAGAATCTGGGTTCAAATCCTGCTTCTGTAACTATTACCTTATTTTATCATGGAAAGGTCATTTAACCTCTGTAGGCCCCCAATTCCTTATTAGTAAAATCTGAGTTGGGGATTGATATATTATTTAAGAGAATTTGTCAAGGATATTGAGATTATATCATTTTTATTTGAAACAACAGCTGCTAATTGATTTCTAGCGAGCAACATTCTTAGTCTTACTTCAATAACTAGATGATCTCTTCTATTTCTTAAATCAACAAACCTATGAATATTTAGATATGTGGAACTATGATATCATCAGTGTGGGTACTTTTCCTCCAATGATGCCCACCCAAACTTTTGCATGCCTTCTCATCCTATGAACATCCTATGTGGGATCCTCCACAGATCTCAGGACACTCATCAGGCTGGGGCCCTCCCTTTAGTTCTCCTGATACTTCATGGATACCAATGGATACACAAAGGCTGTTCATGTCTCAACAAAAATGCATGGGACAGTGATGGCAAAGGTACTACTCTCTTTTAAATTACACAAAACTAAGAACAGTGTTTACTAGAGATCCATTATCACCTATTGTCTCCAATAACAATTTTTAAAATTCCAGTATCATTGACAAATTCTTTCCCCAATAACATCTAGTTGTTCTAAATGTTTCTTGTTTCAAATGAATATCTCACCCCTAACTCCCCACACCCAATATGGGATGCTACACTGGCACTTTAAAAAATACCTCAAAAGAAATGGCCTAGCATGGATCCAACAAGGACTCCATTTTATGACATTTCTTTCCTTGAAGTAACAAAGAGACCTAATTACAACATGATCTCCCCTATATATTCCAAAGCATAAACTCTAGAAAAGGTGTTAATATTGATGTTCCAGTGGCAAACATCAACAAACATTTAAGAGTGCCTATTGTGTATAGGAAGGGTAGAGGAAGATGGGGGGAGTGAGGGAGAAGAATATCACCAAGACTGGGAAATAAGCAGAAGACTGATAATTACTGCTAAGAGTAACAGAGAAAGGTTTGTTGGCAATTAAGAATTTTGGTGGATAGAGCACTGGCTCTGGAGTCAGGAGGACCTGAGTTCAAATCCAACCTCAGACACTTGACACTTACTAGCTGGGTGACTCTGGGCAAGTCACTTAACCCCATTGCCTAGCCAAAAAAAAAAAAAAAGGAAAGAAAGAAAGAAAGAAATTAAGAATTTTGTCTTTGTAATGTTTAATTTCAGGTAGCCAGATATCTCATAGATCTACCACAGATAGTGAGATATGTAGTTCTATATAAGATGGAGTAAATCTAAGACACAGAAATATATTTGGTTAAATCCACATAAAGATAACTGTATTTGAATTCGTGATAGTGGATAAACTACTTAAAGGATTAAATAGAAAATTATTAAAAAAGCTGAACATAAAGGATGGAGTCTTGAGATACAACCACAACAGCAGCTGTGGGTTGGCTTCCATTGGGAAAGGCTCACTGAATGATGTGACATTTCAAAGAGTGGATTAAGAGAAAGATGAAGTAGAGTTTAGTGGATTGAACATTATGAAAACCTTAAGAGTGGGAGAATTAAATCAAAAGGTGTGGAGAGGAAGGTTGCATGAAGACAAAGTAAACAGAGAAAGGAGAAATTATGAGAATGAGAAGGGTGGAAAATAAATGGAGGGCTCTGAAGAAGGGCCAACAGTCACAAAATCAGGTGGGGAAATGGTTTCTATTATGAATACACCTGTTTTTTCAGCTTTCCACGTTAAATCCTTAGAAGGAAAGAACAGCATCTTCTTGAATGATTCTGCATATTCCAAAAACTCTAAGTTGTCCTGTATATAACTTATTTGTACTTAGTTGTTTGTTCATGTTGTTTTCTCCATTAGACTGTGAGCTTCTTGAGGGCAGGGACTATTTACAAGCGCCTTATCTCCACTCACTACCTCCAATTTATCTTGTGTGTGTGTGTATATATACATATATATATATACATATATATATAATTTTACTTAGTTGTTTGCATGTTGTCTCCCCTTTAGACTGTGAGCTCCTTGACGGCAGGGGCTATTCACAAGCGCCTTCCCTCCACTTATCATCTCCAGCTTATCCTGTACGGATCCTGTTTGTAAGTAGTTTGCATGCTATCTCCCCCCACTGTCTCGTGTCTTTCTTAGTCCAGTGCCTAGCACACACAGTAGGCGCTTAATCGATGCTTGCTGGCTTGACTGCCTTTGGAGGCAGGTGAAAACGGCGTGAACACCAGCACGGCTCACTCCACAAACGGGTAAGGCCACCAGCCTGTTAGGACACAGATTATTAACCCTTTGAAACCAAACATCTCTGAAAACGGACGCACGGGTCTCGGTCACCTGCCACTAGAGTCAGACGCCGGGGGGTGGGGGGGCAGGAGGGCGGCGCGCTCCAGCCTCGAAAACCGAGCACCTTGGGGGGCGGGGGGAACAGGCCCAGCCCCTTTTGACCCAAAAGGAGATGGGGGGGCAGGAGTGCGGGCCGGCTTCCCTTACCCATGTGCTGCGTGTCCAGCTGCACGGCCGGCATCTCCTTCAGCGGGATGTGGCCGGTCCCGGCGTCGCCGCAGCAGCGCAGGCAGCAGAAGACCGAGGCCGCCATCGCGCCGGGGCCGCCTCCGTGGGGGGCCAGGAGCCTGGGCTGCCACCGGGGCCGCCGCCCGCCCGCGGTGCAGGCGCAGGCGCAGATTCAAGCTCAGGCTCAAGCTCGGGATCTGGCTCAGGCGCTCCCCCGACCCCTCGTGCCGCGGCACAGCGACCCCGCGGGCTCGGAGGAAGCAGCGCAGGCGGCGCTCAGAGCGGAGATTCGTCCAGCCACCTTCCCCCACAGGATCGGCCTCGCACGGCGGCGGCGTAGGAATCGGTAGCTGCAAGTCAACGCGAGGAGAGCGGGGCCGCGGAGGGATCTGGCCGCTAGTACCCCAAGAAGCAAAGGGCAGGGCGGGATGGAACGTTTGGGCGCAGCCGCCAAGTCACTGCGCGCCCTAGCGCATCAATTGTTAGGAATTGGCTGGCCGGTGGCGCACGCTCGTTAGGGGTTGGGCGGTGCGGGCGCGGGTTACGCGTTCCCCCGGACCACCTCCCCCGTCCCGTAAATGGGAGTGTTCATTTCCCGAAGAGGTATTCCTCTTGGTGTCATTATCTTGCGATAACCCCTAGGAATTCTCTTTAAAAAATTATTCGTAGGGGAAGGACGGACGGACCGACGGAGACGGGGTTTCTCTTAGAGCCTACCTGTCTTCTTACCCTTCCCACTCCTCTTCCCCGGGGGCCAGGGCTGAGGGAGCCTCCAAAGTTGAGGGGCACCCCTTCAAAAGGTGGGAGACACCTACAAGATGCTGCCCCCTCCTAAGAAAAGTTGCCCCTCCTTCCTGCCCCTCCTAACCCCCTAAAGCCCGGACCCAAGGGTAGCGAGTGGCAGAATTTAGAATGGAACCTGGAAAGGAAAGGGGTTAAAAACAAGCCTTTATTAATGAAGCTCCTGCTGTGCGCCCAGCGCCGCCCTTTACAAACATCTCCGGGATGATACGAAGCCGGGCCTTTCCCCCACTGTATCACGTTACAGCAAAGCGAAGAGATTGGTTGGAAAAATTACCAGCCAATTTGTCAAGAAATTGTAAACAAAATGAATATCCAAATATTGGGGAGTGACTGAACAAATCGTAGAATGCACTTGTGATAGAATGTTACTGCACTTTGTGAAATGAATCCGGAATTAAAAGACTTGTAGGAACTGATGAAACAGTGCAAAGCAAGCAGAATCAGAACAGTTTGCCGTGGGGTTTTTGACCCCAGCTGCTTGGAGGTGACTGGGTCTTTGCATATCAAGAGAGGCAGTCTGGTTAAGTAGAAAGAGTCGGGTACTTGGGAATGATGGCGTGGATTCGAGTCCGAACTGCTCTCTACTTTCCAGTGTGACCTAGGGCAAGTAACTTTTATAAATCTCAGCATCTTAATCGTCTGTAAAATGGAGGGCTTGGTCTAGATCTAGATGGCAGCTGAGATGATATCTTCCCTTTCAATTCTAATTCCTAGGGGCAATCAATCCCCAGATCCATATCTCAGAGTTGGAAGAGGCCTCAGTAATTGATCAGTCCAGCTCAACCCGTACAGGAACAGGACACAGCAGGAATACACAAATACCCAACAATTTTCACCCTTCGCTTAAAGATAAATCTGCAGTGAGGGACAACGACTTCCCAAGGTAACCCGAGCCAGTTTTGGAGAGTACGTTTTTCTTCGTTGTGACTTCTCCACGAGTTGCTCCTACATTTGCTTTTTGAGGCCAAGCAGTCCAAGAAGAGGATGCCTCATTCGGAGAAAAGTTCTCTCCTTAAGCCCGAGCCCCATCCAACTCTATAGAGAAAATTCCTGCTAATCAATTAGAGGGTGTTTGTGTGCCTGTGTTGAATTTTATTCTCCTGCTTTTGCAGGAGAGGACAGAACTGAAAATATACCCATCTCATGCAGGAAGTTTCAAAAATGGAGACCTTGACTGGGAAAAAGCTAAACCGGAGCAGCCAGCCGAGATTACAACACCCCGACCTCATTGGTAAGTACGGGGAGGAGAGGTGCTTGGGTTTTTTTTTTTTTAACTGCTTTTTTTTTCCTGAAAGAGATGTTTCCCTGTCTTTCCAGCTGTCTGTTTTGCAGGATGTCTGCAAGAGTAAGATAAGCAACGTAGGACTCCTCCCATCAGCACACCTGGGAGCTGACAGTTCCTGACTGCTGGGTCTGTCCGGCTTGGCAACATAGAAGAAGCAGCCGCCAAATGAGAACTCACAGTTTCCCAACTCCCATCCCCCACACCTAGAGTGCTGGTTCAGGCAGAGAGATGTGCCCACGTCTCCTTTTACTGGATGAATCGCCAAAGTCCCTGGGATCAGGGGTCTCTTGGCTACCTACTAATGTCAAAGTGGACCTTAAAGATTAATCAGGCCTAACCCCCCCCCCCAACCCTGGTAAAATTAGCTTAGGTTAAACTACATACAAACAAACAAACATTCTGAACCAGGGGAGGAGGGAGCGAGGAAGCAGAACATCTTTCCAAGGACCTATTTCCTCATATTATTTATGGGTACCAAAGGAATTTTCTTGAGAATAAGAGAATTTTTCTTAGAGTTAAGTTTAGTCTGCCTGTCCCCAGGTCTATTTTTCTCTTTTCATTCATATGGTGTGGTCCTGAAAATAATTCAAGAAAGCTTTGACTTTCTTTGCTGGCCTTTAGAGCTGTAAGATTCTATAGACTTAGTAATGGAGACAAGTAATTAGGTAAACAAGAAGTAAGAGAATTAGTCTGCCCCCAAAAAACTTCATTCAGGGTAATCAGTGCCCTTGTATTGGAGAGGTTGCTGTTACAGAAAGCCTTGAAAAAGCTTTCTTGGTATTAGATTAATTGTTCTGAATGTTTCCACCAGGGAACCTTAATACAAGGATGTGACTTTTGCAACCATTAGTGCCCTGTCTTAAAAGTGTCCTTGGCTCAAAGTGAAAGCTTACATTTTTAAACTCTCCCTCTGATTCACCCCACATCTCCAATCTGTTGCCACATTTCAATTGTTTCTATCTTCACAGCATCTCTTCTGTAAGTCATCTTCTCACTATTCAAACACAACCTTATTCCAGATTGCTCATGACTTCTCACCTGGATTTAGTCCTCTAACTGGTCCCCAGGTTTCAAGTCTCTTACCCACTCCAATACATTCTCCACTCACTGCCAATGTAGTTTTTCTAAAATATCATATCTGTCCATGGTCAAAGATGATGCAATTTAAAGAGTAATAAGAGAAAACAGATCATTATGACTACCAGTATTTTGTACTGAACAAAACCCATTCCACATTGGCTGTGTCTGAAAATTCATGTCTTACCTTTTATCTTGAGTCCATTCCCTCTCTGTCAGTAGCGTACTTTATCACCAGTCCCCTAAAATCACAGTTGGTTATTACTTTGATAAATTTTCAAGTCTTATAATTTTGTTATTATTATATAACTTGTTCTCCTGGTTCTGATCACTTTACTATGCATAAGGTCAGAAAATGCCTATTTTGTGATTTCTTATGGCAAAATAACATTCCCTTCCATTAGTATACCGTAATTTGTTAGCCATTCCCCAATAGATGCTGCTACAAAAAGAGCTGCTGTAATTATTTTGTACATAAGGGTCCTTTTCCTCTCTCTTTGATTTCCTTGGGGGTACAGACCTAGTAGTGTTATTGTGGAGGTCAAAGAAAATATAGTTTAGTGACTTTGGGGCCATAGTTCCAAATTGCTTTCCAGAATGGCTGGATCAATTCACAGTTCCACCAGTAGTGTATTAGTATTCTTGTTTTCCCACAGTCCTTCAATATTTGTTGTTATCCTTTACTGTCAATCTCTACCAATCTGATAGATATGAACTATCATAGAGTTTCATGAATTTAGACTTGGAAGAAACCTAAGAAACCTCGAAAGTAACCTAGCCAACCACTTCATTTTATAGATGTGGAAAGTGTGGTCAGAGAGATTAAGTGACTTTGCCTAATGTCACACAAGTAGCTAGAACTGGAACCTTCATCCTCTGGCTCCTAAGCCAACTGTCTTTTCCACTGTACCATGTTGTAGGGAAGTGCCATAGCCTCCCCTGGTTAGAAAAAGCAACTGGCAAATTTTTTTGGTGGCAAAGCACCATAAACAAAATGAGTATCCAAGGACTGGGGAAAGGCTGAATAAACTGTAGACTACAGTTGTGATAGAATGTTATTGCTCTGCATGAAATGACGTAGAAGAATTCAGAGAAAGATGGGAAGACTAGTATGAACTGATGCAGAACAAAATAAGCAGAAACAAGAAAGCAGCATGTATAATGACTACAATAATGGCAATAAGAACAACAACAAAAGGCAACTGAACTCAGAATAAATACATTAATCAAAAATGAATCCAGAGACCAGATACTTAGTATGCTGCATATGGCAGATGTAAACTGACAGCTGTGGAACTGGTCTGTTTTATTTGTTTTTCTTTGTTACAAGGGAGGATTGGAGTGGGGGAGGTATATAGGAAAATTGTTGTGGTGGTGGTAAAAAAAAAAGACATTAACAAAATTTTAAAAAATAATAATCATCAAGACATTACCTTCCTAAGCCCTGTCCTCACTGTAGTAACTAAGGTGTACTTCAAAAGTATGAAGCAAACAAAATAAGTTAACTTTTGATAATGGCTTCCTGATTTTTAATAGGCAAATAGTGATCTCATAAGTTTCATGTATTTACAATATGTTATTCTCTAATCCCTTTATTATTATTGTCAAAAGAATTGTCTTCTCTTATAAAAGTGCAGAGTTAAATTCAGAGTCTATCACAGCTATCACCTTCTACAACAGTAAAAAATAAGGCCAGTAAAGACTTGCTCCATAATAGTTAAGTAAGCCACTGCTTTACAGTCTGCTCATTTATGTCAGATGCAATAGCAGCCTCTGACTATTAAAATAAAGATCATAATCTTGTTTGCTTTTGTGACATGTACTAGGAACCTGAGAATGGACCAAACAACAATGTAGAGCATGCGTTTCAAAGGTTAACATCTTACTCAATGTTTTCTGTATTGCTTTTTGTATTATTTTTGGTAGATGACA